GGCAATCCACTCCCCTCAGCCTCCCAAAGCACGGGATTACAGGCTGAGCCACCGAGCCCGGCTTGGCTAACTTTTTGAGTTATTATAGAGATAAGGTCTTGCCAAGTTGCCCAGGCTGTTCTTGAAACCGTGGACTCAGGCAATTCCCTCACCTCAGCCTCCCGAAGTGCTGGGATTATAGGCTTGAGCCACTGTTTTCGGCCTCAGGCTTCATTTCTAATGACTGTGTTAACCAAGACATCCAGCCCAGCCAGGGTGAGGGAGGTGAGTACAGACTCTGACCCCTTAGACACTGCCAGCCTCCCTTGAGAGGGTAGAAACTAAGTTTTATAGCTTCTGAAGGTATTTCAAGCCTTGGAGAGCAGATGAAATCCAACTACACAGATGCTCCTTGCCCATGGATCAAGTTGGTCCCACTTGTTCAAGCAAAACAAACAACTTACAGATGGATTCCCAGGATGCCAAGGGCCTCAGTATAAGAATTTAGGTCTAAAGCCAGATGCGGTAGCTCATACCTGTAATCCCAGCACTTTGGGAGGTTGTGGCTCCTTTTGTATTATAGTAGCGGAATTGAATTGCTGTGATAGCGAGCTGTTTGGGAGAACCTTTTGAGCCCAGGGTTGAGACCAGCCTGGGCAACATAGTGAGACCTCATCTCTACAAAAAATACAAAAATTTAACTGAGGGTGGTGGCACGCATCTGTAACCCCAGCAACTTGGGAGGCTGAGGCAGAAGAACTGCCTGAGCCCAGGATGTCAGGGCTACACTGAGACAGGATTGTGCCACTGCACTCTAGCCTGGGTGTGACAGAGTGAGACCCTGTTTCAAAAAAAAGAAAAAGAAAAAAAGAATTCAGGCTCTTCTTCCTTTCCTGTACTCTGAGATCTGGTTTTTGTTTGTTTGTTTCTGAGTTGGAGTCTCACTCCATTGCACGACCACCGCAGCGTCGACCTGCTGGATTCCAGCAATCATTCCACCTCAGCCTTCCAAGTAGCCGGAACTACAAGCACACGCTACTACGCTCGGCTAATTTTTTATGTATTGTAGAGATGAGGTCTTGCCAAGTTGCACGGGCTGGTCTTGAACCCGCGGGCTCAGGCAATCCACTCGCCTGGGCCTCCTAAAGTGCTGGGATTACAGGTCTCCCAAAGTGCTGGGATTACAGCCTGGCCGATATGGTTTTAAAATGGCATGATTAGCCAGGCTCAGTGGCTCAGCCTGTAATCCCAGCACTTTAGGAGGCCCAGGCGAGTGGATTGCCTGAGCCCGCGGGTTCAAGACCAGCCCGTGCAACTTGGCAAGACCTCATCTCTACAATAAATCAAAAATTGGCTGGGCATGGTAGCGCACACCTGTAGCTCCAGCTACTTGGAAGGCTGAGTCAGAAGGATCACCGGAGCACAGTAGGTCGAGGCTGTGGTGGCCGGGAGCGTGGCCACTGAACTCCAGTCTAGGCAACTGAGTGAGACTCCAACTCAAAAAAAAAAAAAGATGGCATGATTGAGGCAAACTGGGCCCAGAGTCCCTACCATGAGTTAGGCCCAGTGCAAATACTGGAAACACACAAAAGAGTTGAAAATGACCCACCCCTTACTTCAAGGTGCTCACAAGCCTGGAAGATAAAGAACACTCAAACAGAGCATTACGATGTCCCAGGTGCTGGGGGACTCCAGAGCAGGGAGCGGCAGACCTTTTCTGAAAAGGTGCAGGAGAGTAAATATTTTCAACTTTGTGCCATATATTCCCTAGCACAGCAATTCAATTCCGCTGCTATAATACAAAAGGTGCCACAGATGATTTGTAAATGAAATAGAGTAAGGCATCAGGACTATCTTGGCTCTCAGACTGTTTTCCAACCTCTGAGGAAGGGCAGGCTTTTCAGAGGAGGGAGTGATTGGGCATTAACAGATGAGGAGTCAGTCAAGTGAACATGGTGAGTGAACATCATTGCCAATGTGGGGTGGAGCGTGGGCAAAGGCACTGAGGCTGATTAGGGCAGAGTGTGAATACACAACCGGGGGTATCTGGGTTCCAGGAGTCTCATTCGGGACCAAGGAGTTCGGCCTTCATCTGAGAGAAGAGAGTCACTGGTGGGTTTGGAGCAGGAGAGAGGCATGATCAGATGGCGCTTGAAAAGTTCGCCAACTGCTGGATGGACAGTGGGCTGGAGGAGAGTCAGGAGGGGTGAAGAGGGCTGACCTAGGGTGATGGGACTGGAGAGGCAGAGGGGTTCTGAGGTGGAACGGGCAGAACCTGACGCCAGGGCCGGGAGGATCAGGCCAGCCTGCAGGTCTGATTGTGGAAGGAAGGTTTTTGTACAGACCTCTTTTTTTTTGTTTTTGTTTTTGTTTTTTTTTTT